TCAGTTATTGTAACTTAAAAATTAATTTTTAGGGGCTGGTGTTGTGGCATAGTGAGCTAAGCCTCTGCCTGCAGCACTGGAATCCCATTTGGGCACCATTTTAAATCCTGGCTGTTTTACTTCTGATCCAGCTCTCTGCTATGGCCTGGGAAAGCAGTAGAAGATGGCCCAAATCCTTGGGCTCCTGCACCCAGAAGAAGCTCATGGATCCTGGCTTTGGATTGACATTGCAGCCAGTTGGGGAGTGAACCAGAAGAATTGCAGACCTCTCCCTCTGCCTCTCCTTTTCTCTCTGTGTAACTCTGTCTTTCAAATAAATAAACAAATCTTTTTTGTGTGTGTAAGGGTAAGGGTTTATTGGGGACAACCCAGGAGACTAGAGGGAAGGGGCGAAGAAGGACAAAGAAGGTAATAGAGAGAAGAGAGGGGAGCAGGAGAGAGGAGAGAGGGAGGGAGAGAGACAGCAGAGATGAGAGGAGCTGAGAGAGAGAGAGAGAGAGAAAGAGAGAGAGAGGAAAGAGTGAGAGAGAAAGAGAAGGGAGAAGAGACCAATAAGCAAATCTGGAAAAAAAAAAAAAAGAAGAAGAAGATGATGATGACCGAAGTATTTCGATACTGCCACCCACATGGGAGTCCCAGATGGAATTTGTTGGTCTTGGGTTTAGACTAGCACAGCCCTGGCTGTTGCAAGCGTTTGGGCAATGATCCAGAGGATGGAAGACAGCTCTCTTTGTTGCTCTGACTTTCAAATAAACAAATATAAAAATATTTTTAAGGGTTCATAAATAAAATTAAATATATGATTTTATTTTGGTGCAGTAACAATTTGGAATTCATAAAATGCATTTTTAGCTTACACACTTTCCATATATTAAAAAAATGTCTTTTTTGCCAAAAAACTATACCAAAGTAAACTCATACTTTTAAGTCTCTTTCCATTTACTTTCCAAATCTCCCCATGTTTCACCCACTGCAATGTAGGGCAGCCACAACTGATGTTCCCATCCAGGCAGTAGACTTACATTCTGAGTATTTATGGAGCCTGAAAATAAATTTTGATGCAATTTTAATTTAGAACCAGAGTGAAAAGTTTAGAATACAGTGAGAGTGGACATGAGTTTTAAGTACTCTTTTTCTTTAGTTTTTTTTTTTTTTTTTGACAGGCAGAGTGGACAGAGAGTGCTTCCTCCTGGTCTCCCATGTGGGTGCGGGGCCCAAGCACTTGGGCCATCCTCCACTGAACACCCGGGCCATAGCAGAGAGCTGGCCTAGAAGAGGGGCAACTGGGACAGAATCTGGCACCCCGACCAGGACTAGAACCTGATGTGCTGGCACCGCAGGTGGAGGATTAGCCTATTGAGCCACGGTGCTGGCTTCTTTAGGGTTTTAAGCTAGTTGACTGAATAATAAAAAAGTATTTAGACAAATATTTCTTCTTAAGTGTTTTTATTGAGTTTTAGAAATCCTGATTAAAACCACTTGCTAGTTAAATATCTTCATTGTCCCAACTTGGAGAAATGAATGTCTAGGTTAAACTCCCATGCAGTGTTGGTTAATAGTTTCTGTAATGCCTTTCAAAAAGCTTATTGACTACATTTTGCCCTATTTGAAAAATTAAATCAATGAAAATGAAAGATAAATTATGTATGTGGGGATTGTCCATAAGAACACCTGTAAAATTTATGATCTGCAATCTCAGTGTGCAAAGTTTTCCTCATTTAGACTGTTTAGCCTTGGCTTTCTTTCCCCTTTATTATGATACATCAGTGTGAATCTTAGAGATTGTCATGCTTTCTCTTGTCCAATGAAAGCTGGGTTAGATTAGCACTTCTCTACATAAGATTCTAGATTCCTGAGTGCTTATTAAGCTAGTTATGGGGGTCTGTGTGCTTGAGTCACAATTTGAAAGAAAATAATTGGTAACTAAAATGTTAACATTATTGTCATTAGCAGTATTACTAAGTATTTTCTTTTTATCTTATTGTTCATTTTATTCTTATTGGCTTTTGATGTTTTGAAAATTTACAGCATAAAACTGGGAAACTATGGACTGTTGTGCATTTGAAGGTCTATATATTTATTTTAAATTTCATGTCTGTGAACAGTGCTAGTATTTCCTTTGCTTTGTTTTTAAGTACAATCAAATTACACAGGGAAGTGACAGCTCGCAATGCATGTACCTGAGTGTAGACAGGCAATCTAAACAGTAAAGTTGGGCACTCTGGGTTTATTGGTAAACAGTGCCAAGTCTATGAGGGAATGGATAACAAACATCTTTAGCTTCCAATCAGTGAAATTTCTGTTTAAAAGTCCAAAATTTGGGGATTGGCATAGCGGTGTGGTGGTTAATGTTGCTGCTTGTAATGCTGGCATCCCATATGGGCACTGGGTTGAATCCCAGCTGCTCCACTTCTGATCCAGCTCCCTGCTAATAGACCTAGGAAAGTGGTGGAAGATTGCCTAAGTACTTGATCCCCTGCATCCACATGGGAGGCCCAGAAGCCTCTGGCTCCTGGCTTCAGATTAGCCCATTTCCAGCCATTATGACCATTTGGGAGTGAACCAGTAGATGGAAGATATCTCTCTCTCTCTTCTTCTCTACCTTTGCCTTTCAAATAAATAAATACATCTTTAGGGAAAAAAGTCTGGAAATGAACAAGTGCAGATGTGCTGTGTTATTTATTTTTAGTCATAATGTACAACCTTAAAATAAGAAAGAAAGGACTCTGAATCCTGGATGGTACAGAAAGAACATGGGATTCATAGGAGATTGCTTAGCCTGAACAAGGGCACATTGAGAAGATTAGATAAGTATTCTTGCAAAAATATTTAAATCCAGGTATAGTTTTTACAGTCCATATTTTCTATCAATTTTTAAGACTCATCATGTCATCCTAGAGCTTCTCATGAAAACACAGTATTATATTTTTCTAATAGAAGAATTTTCTATGAGCATCACAGTTACCTGATTTCATGAATATTTATTGTTGTAATTTTTCCACATGTCAGACATGTCCTAGAAACAAAGTGGGGGAAGTGACTGGGTCTTTTCTTTGCCCATTCCTTTCATTTAGTCTTGCGTACTCCCTTTAATATTTCATTGACCTACTGGAAACAAAGGCCAGTTGCCCCAAAATCACCTAATTGTCATCTTTTTCTCTGGATTCTCTTATGTTGTCCTTGAATGTTTTACTCTAGAGCCTGAAAATCCTTCAGAAATGTAGTTTTAATTTTTATTTTTAATATTTTTTTGACAGGCAGAGTGGACAGTGAGAGAGAGAGACAGAGAGAAAGGTCTTCCTTTGCTGTTGGTTCACCCTCCAATGGCCGCCACGGCTGGCGCAATGCGGCCAGCGCAGCATGCTGATCCAATGGCAGGAGCCAGGTACTTATCCTGGAATCCCATGGGGTGTAGGGCCCAAGCACCTGGGCCATCCTCCACTGCACTCCCGGGCCACAGCAGAGAGCTGCCCTGGAAGAGGGGCAACCAGGACAGAATCCGGCGCCCCGACTGGGACTAGAACCCAGTGAGCCAGTGCCACAAGGTGGAGGATTAGCCTAGTGAGCTGCGGCGCCAGCTCAGAAATGTAGTTTTAAAGCTAAGTTTTACAGGCTTCAGTTAAACATGTTTCACTGGAAGATAATATATCTATGAAGTATGTGAATCACATACTGCATTGCTAGAAGAGTGGGTCTTCCAGATAAAATGCAAGACACACTAATACTGTGTGGAACATCATCAAACCAAAAATAGCATTGCTTAGCAGAAATTCAAATTTACCTATGGGCTTCATCTTTCTTAATGTGACCACTTTGTTCAAACGACATATAAAAGCTTTTCAAATTAACTAATGAATTGATGACAAACTGCTGCTTATACTGTATCATGATTAGTCCCCTTTTAACCTAGGGTGTGAGGATATTTTGATATTTGCACTTCCATCAACCAGTTATCTATCAGTCCAATTAGTTATACTTACTATTGTGAAGTCTATACATGTATAGGCTTCACAAAATACTTTTTAAATACAGTTCTATCTGTATTACAGTAACATTTTAGGGAAGAGAAAAACTTCCCTTGTCAGCTGTGGCTATTAGTAATTTCAAACTATAGTTTCTAGTTGAAAGACAGGCTCAATGCTTCTATAACAATAATCACTTCTTTATCTTTTCTTGAGTGGCCACAGCTCAAGCACCATGATTCCAAAGGGTAGGATTCCTTGTGTGATGAGACTAGATTGATCACACTATTTGACAAAGTAATTTCATTTCTAGAAGTTTATTCTAAGGAAACAAAAGGAATAGACCACAAAGACATCTACACAGGGTGTTACTTACAGTGTTTCTTGTAATAGCAATCAATCAACAAATAAATAGAAAAACAGAGGACAACATTCACAATGCCATCAGAAATGATTAGCTAAGTCAGTGATGGCACATCCAACCAGATTTGTCTCCTAACTAGATCTTACCATTTATTCTTATGCAGCTACTATCCAGTCTCAGCAAGATAAATGAACTTTCTAAAACAGCAGAGACTAACAAGAGACCTTGGGGCTTAAAAAAATAGTATAGAATTATGTAATATGTGGAAACATTCTTATTATCAGTATTAAAAACCCCACAGAGAAATGAGTCAGAAATATGAAGAAAATGTAAAACACCAAAGCCAATAAATAGCCATTACACTCTCCCTCATCCTAAGCAGGTGGCTGCAGCCTCCAGGTGGGATTCTCCCAGGAAGACCCGTGGGGAGGCAGGAGGGTCCCAGCAGGTGGCAGGGTCCCACTGGTGAAAGGGTGCAGCCCTGGAGGAGGTCCTTGGCCCCTGAACCCAGGCCTCACCTCTACCATCTGGAGCGGCCTGGAGTTCCCATCTCTGCTGTAAAGATGCTGATTTGTTGCATCTTCTGGGTCCTGTGTGTTGACGGCTATGTGAGCTGTCCAATCAGGCGCGGTGACATCACTGCCACATAATCACACTGGATTGTGACACCACAGAGTTCCAAATTCCTGGAGGAGAGAGGTCCAAGGAGGAGCCTCTGCTGCTTGGAGACTCAGGAGCTAGTGCGGCATCCGCTGTTCTCTGACCTTTTCCACCCAACACAGCCCATCTCATATGCCTGGGAATGGTGAGTGTGTGGGGCCAGGTCACCAGAGTGGGGGAAGGGGAAGCTGGTGGTACCTGCTGGCAGGATGCGGGCTCCAAGAGGGCGTCCCTGGAACCTGTGGGCCCGATCTCGCTGTCCCCATAGCACACTCCTGGGTTCCTTGTGGTCTAGAAGATGCGATCTGCCCTTGTAGGCCCCTTCCCTGTTCAAAGAGATGTCTCAGCCTCAGAGGCCTCTGTGAGGAGCTGTTTCATGGCAGCCCCACGTCTCCCCCAATCGTGCAATGGGGACAGGGCGTAACCATGGAGAAACAGTGCTGTGTGTATGGTGTGCATGCAGTTGAGGAGTTGTCATTTATAGGATTGTCAGTTCCTCTGTTCTTTGTGTGTGGGAAGCAGGGTCTCAGTTTCTAGGACCCGGCCTTCCTGCATAGCTTTCCAGGAAATACCCCATTAGTGTAAATATATGGTTTTACTAAGGAGAAACAGCGTAGTGGGGCCAGGGCTGTGGTGTAGAGGGTAAGCTGCACCTGCAGCGCTGGTATCCAATATGGGTGCCAGTGTGAGTCCTGCTGCTCCACTTCTGATCTAGCTCTCTGCTATGGCCTGGGAAAGCAGAAGATGGCCCAAGTTCTTGGGCCCCTGCACCTGTGTGGGAGACCTGGAAGAATCTCCTGGCTTCTGGCTTCGGATCTACCAAGTTCAGTCCATTGCAGCCCTTTGGGGAGTGAACCAGTGGATGGAAGACCTCTGTCTCTCCCTCTCTGCCTTTGCCTCTCTGTAACTCTGCCAACATTGTAGAATGCCTAATGATTTCTAAAATTTACAAGGAGGTGGAAACTCTTTGAGTTTGTTAAAAGCTTTTCTGTGAGACTGTCAATAAATCTTGAGAAAAGTTCCACTTTATCACATAAAATTAATCCATTTTTAGGGATTATATAAATTGGTTGTTATATATTTCAATTAAGTAGCAAACATAGTAGAAAAATGTCTTGAAAAAAATTCACTCAGCTCATGAACAAGTATACAAAGAAATTCTCCTCTGTCACAAAACAGCAAGTACTAATTTTCCAACCTTAATTTTTCAGAAAGTATAATCTTTAACCCTAGAAGGAGTATAACAATCAGGATGCCTAACTCTATATAGAATTACCACTGTGACATGACCTAAAACAACTCACTTTACTTCTCTGGGACTTAACACTTAGCATCCTCATGTGCAAAATGAGATTTGGATAAGACAAGTTGTACTCAAGATAGACATCAAGGATCTCTCAGATCCAATAGACATCGAGGCTCCCTTAGGCTCCAAAGTGGCACTTTAAGGTATCGGTGAAAATGTAAATCAAAGCTTGCATTCTTATACACACATATATTTTAAACTATTTCTGCAAATTCAAATGTGTACCATACCACTGTTCAACACTTGGGGATAATTAATGCATTAACTCATGATGCTAAGTTGAGTTTGGTGCAGCCTTCTTTTCTTAACAGGTCCAGTAATTCACGCTTTTAGCAAATCTATACCAGATTAAAATGGTTAGGTTTATACAAACCTTTGTTTTAATGCAAGCAATGCCTACATGTTCATGAAAAATTGAGAGTAGATACATCATGAGAGCAGGTGCTAGTCAAATGACTCAGTTGAAAAACTTAGCAAAACCAAGTAGTTAAGCAGTGGTACTATTACATATTTTCCCAATATCATGTTGTAGATAAGATTAGTACGTCTTTGAATTTGTGGTTTATTCTTCTCTGACAACCTGAGTGAGTTTAATTTGTCAGTAGAGAAGTGAAACTGTTGTAAACAGAATTATTGAAGTAATGTTAATAATTAGATGAATTTAATTTATCACAGTTTGATACCAAAATATCAGTCTTTTTATAATGGCATTATTAATATCATGTCGATTTCCATTTAAAAGCATTTTTTGTAAACTAATGATGGATTTCTTAAAAAATAATTTATTTGAAAAGTAGAATCATTGAGAGAGAGAGAGAGAGAGAGAGAGAGATCCTCCATCTACTGGTCCACTGCCCAAATGGCTGCAGGTGCCTGGTCCCAGCCAGGGCAAAGCCAAGAGCATGAGGCTCCATCAGATTCTCCTGTGTAGGTGGCTCAGATCAAGTACTTAAGCCATCACCATCAGGAAGCTGGGCCAGAAGTGGAGCTGCTGGCCTCTAACTGGCTCTGATTGGATACCAGTATCACATGCAGTGGCTTAACCTGCTGAGCCAGAGGCAAGCCCCAAACTACAAGGAATTTTATCTAAATTGAACTTTTTAAATGATAAAGAATCTGTTAATACTGTGTCTCCCTGTCACCCTGAAAAAAAAATGAGGCCAGTGTTGTAGCACCGAAGTGTAAGCCACCACCTGCAAGTCCCAGATGCTCCATTTCATTTCAACTCTATGCTACTATACTGGGAGAAGCAGTGGAAGATGGCTCAAGTATCTGGGTTCCCACCACCACATGGGTGACCCAGGTCATCGAGTTCCTGACTCCTGGATTCAGTCAGGTCCAGCCCTGGCTGTTGCAGCCATTTGAGAATATTTAAACCATCAAGATGAGAGACCTTATAATTCATGGAAAAGAAGTATGCTTGTATTTCAAGAAAATTTTGCACCACAATTAACCTACCATTCATTCAATATTTCTTGTTTGATGTTGCCTAATTCAAACTAACTCCATATACATGTAAAGAAATACTTTGTTTTTCTAATGTGAAACAATTTAAGATATATTACTCACCAATTTATGCAATGTACTGCTTCCTAATAGCTCCACTTGGCATTTCAAAATGTCAATTCAGGTATTTCTGGATTATAGTTGTATTAATATACTACTTTCAAAGATCATAATATTAGTTGTGATACTAATTTAAATATTTTAATATCCCTTAACCTTATACTACAAGTAAGATGGTGTTTTGAGTTTTTTTTTTATAATTAGATCTATCTATGTATCTATGTATGTATGTATGTATCTATCTATCTATGGGTTACAGTGTGAGATTTTAGTCCCTGGCTACAATATGTACCGATCAAATCAGAGTAAACAACGTTCTCCCTTCTATGACACCACACTTCATGATCAGAGCCTTGGAACACCTTTCTTCCATTTGCTAATAAAGTATGGAATACATTACTGTGGGGGTATAGTCAACCCATCAAGCTATGTAACATTGAAACTCATTCTCATAATCTAACTCTGATTTTGTAGAATTACTCCAAGTAGATTTTACAGATTTTTAATTAATTACTTTGAATGAAAAGGAGACACACAGAAAGATGGAAAGGAAGGAGAATGTGCCCACCCACTGGTTCACTTCACAAATGCCTAATAAAGGTGTGGCTGAGTCAGACCTCAACAACAGTTTAGACATGACACCCCATGCACAAGTGACAAAAACAGAAATAAGGAAGTAGGGCTGCAAAAAGCTAAATAAACAAATTCTGCATACTAAAGAAAAACTGAAAAGAGAAGGTAAGGAATGGGAGAAAATATTGGCAAACCTACTTTTATTAAGGGAGTAATGCAAAGAACATGCAGAGCTCAAAAGCAAATATAATTTAAAAATTGACAAGAATCTGATCATTTTTTCCAATGAAGACATGCAAGCAGCCAACAGGCATTTGAAAAGGAGTTCAGCACTGCTAAACAAGACCACAATGATTATCACCTCAGATATGTAAAAATGGTTATTAACAAAAAGTAAAAAAAGATAACAAGTATAAATTAGATGTGGAAAAAAGAGAACACATAAGTTGTGGAACTGAAAATTGGTATTTGCATTAATGAAAACACTCTGGACAGGCCGGTGTTGTGGCTTAGCTGGTAAAGCCACTGCCTGCAGTGCTGGTACCCCATTTGGGCATCAATTCTCAACATGTAATCTAACTATTCATGTGATTGTCGTCATCGTCTTCTTCTTCTTCTTCTTCTTCTTCTTCTTCTTCTTCTTCTTCTTCTTCTTCTTCTTCTTTTTTACCAACCTGGATGACTGGTCTGTATATTTTAACCTATCTTACCTGTTTTATTATATCTTGCTGTTATTGATATATTTTCTTAAGAATTTTTTTTTGACAGGCAGAGTGGATAGTGAGAGAAAGAGACAGAGAGGAAGGTCTTCCTTTTTGCCATTGGTTCACCCTCCAATGACTGCCGTGGCTGGTGTGCTGCGGCCTGCGCACCGCGCTGATCCGAAGGCAGGAGCCAGGTGCTTCCTCCTGGTCTCCCATGGGGTGCAGGGCCCAAGGATTTGGGCCATCCTCCACTGCCTTCCCTGGCCACAGCAGAGAGCTGGTCTGGAAGAGAGGCAACCGGGAAAGAATCTGGCGCCCCGACCAGGACTAGAACCCCGTGTGCCAGTGCCGCTAGGTGGAGGATTAGCCTAATGAGCCGTGGCGCCGGCCCCTTATGTAATTTCATTTGTTATATTAAGCCTTACTTGGGATACTTTTATCTCTGCTTATGAATAGGATACTTTTAAAAAACTTAAATTTTATTTTAAGTCCTTGTCCCCTGTATCATCATCAAAGTAATGCTGATTTTCCAAAAGAAATTTAAAAAGCACTATGTTCCTAAATTTGTATATGTGAAATGTATAAACTATGTATACCTAACATAAACAGTTTCTAGGTAAAAATAAATAAAGTTAAAGAATAATAACAATAAAAATGTTCTCTATTTCACTTTGGTAGATCTGATAAACATAGTTTTGCTTTTTATCCCTTAAAATTTGGACCATTCTGTAAATCCAGACCCAAAATTTTGAGTATGTGACTTTCTTCTTGGGTGATTTCTTGGAATTTTCATAAAATGATTCAGCTTTTTTGGATTCTATAGGAATTTTCATATTTTATGTTATATCTGTTTTTTGGAAACTTAATTTTTAAAACATAGTAGATTTTGTTCTCTATAGTCAAATTTTTATTCCTCAGAATTTCAGGGGTTTGGTGCTGTGGTGCAGTAGGTTAAAGCTCCAGCCTGCAGAGCTGGGATTCCCCATGGGCAACAAT